GCTTCTGTAATTAGACTATACCAGGACACTAGTTCTAGATTCTTTTCTTTCACTGGCAAGCATTTATTGACTATCTGCCGTGTTCAAAGTACTATGCTATTGTTCTGTAGATCTGTGATCCTATTCTATTATTTAATTCCATGACTCCTTGTTGACATAAGATGTGACACTGTCCCCACTGCATTCACTCCCAGGTGAGGTCAGCCAAGGCAGACAAAGAGCAATTGGCATTGTCTAACCTGATGGATAAGGTGACACAATGGGTCTCCCTGTGTTAATACTCCATACCATCCAGTCTCAGTCTCCCCAGCTAATAAACATGGCATGTTTGAGTGCCAATACCCACTGCTATTAATAGGTATTAAAATCCCCAATGACCTCATGCTTCCTCCTTCTCTCTCCCTTTCAACCCACCTGTGGTATCAAATTGAGAATTGATTTGAAGCCAGGCAGTCTGACTTTGGCATCTGTAATATGTTAGTACTTAGTGAAGTTTCTTATTTTTCTATTATCTTTTATTTTTTGATTTTTTGATGGTAGGAGGTGATGATTTAACAGAAGGGCACTTTAGCCAGGCACTGTGGTGCATGCCTGTAATCCCATCGGTTCGGGAGCCTGAGACAGGAGGATTATAAGTTCAAAGCAGCCTCAGCAACTTAGCAAGGCTCTAAGCAACTCATGGAGACTGTCTCTAAATCAAATACAAAAAGCATTGGGGTTGTGGCTCAGTGGTTAACTGTCCCTGGGTTCAATCCTTGGTACCAAAAAGAAAAGAGGACACTTTACCACAGAGCTTCATTCCTAATCCTATTTGTTGTTATTGTTGTGTTTGTTTGTTTTTGTTTTGTTTTATTTATTTGTGTGTTTTTTTGGTTTTTTTGAGACAGGGTCTCAATAAATTACTGAGACTGACCTCAAACATGCCATCATCCTGCCTCAGCCTCCTGAGTTCCTGGGGTTACAGGGTTGTATCACTGTGCCTGTCTAGCATAGTTTCCTAATCTGTGAAATAAGGCTAAGAATTTGTTTTATTGAACATCTTCTGGACCAGAGACTAGGAGGAAAGTAAGGGATACAAAAACTGCTCCCAGTCCCTGTTCTCTGGGAGTTCATACTTTACAAGGAGAGAAAGAAATGGAAACCAACATAATGTTGAAGAATTAAATAAAATAGTAGGATGTTGCTAGGGATGGTGGCCCACACCTATAATCCTAGTAATTTGGAAGGCTGGGGAAGGAGGATCTCAAGTTCCAGGCCAGCCTGGGAAACTAAGTGAGACCCTGTCTCAAAATTTAAAAAAAGACTGGGTACAGTAGTGTATGCTTGTAATCCCAGTAACTCAAGAGTCTGAGGTAGAAGGATCACAAGTTTAAGACCAGCCTCAGCAATTTAGGGAGACCCTTCTCAAAATATAAAAAAATAAAAGGAGCTAGGAATGTATCTCAGTGGCAAAATGCCCCTGGGTTCAATCCCCAGTTATGAAGGAAAAAAAAAAAGTAGGTAGCAGAATGTTAAGAACTACAGATGTAGCTGTGTACAGTGGCACATGCCTGTAATCCCAGCAGTTTGGGAGGCTGAGGCAGGAGGTTCATGAGCTCAAAGCCAGGCTCAGCAAAAGTGAAGTGCTAAGCAACTCAGTGAGACCCTGTCTGTAAATAAAATACAACATAGATCTGGGGATGTGGCTCAGTAATCAAGTACCCCTTATTTCAATCCCTGATAATCTTCCACCCCCCTCAAAAAAAAAGGTACGTTAAAAAGTGATGAGAGCCGGGCTAGACATGATGGCACATGCAGCTCAGGAGGCTGAGGCAGGAGGATCCCAAGTTCAATTAGCAACTGAGCAAGACCCTGTTTCAAAATGGAAAATAAAGTGGTCTGGGGATGTGGTTCAGTGGTTGAGCGCTATTGGGTTTAATTCCTGGTACAAAAAAAAAAGAAAGAAAGAAAGAAAAGAAAAGAAAGTGATGGAGCTAGGGCAAGCCTGATGCCTGTAATCCCAGCAAATCAGGAGACCGAGGCAAGAGGATGGCAAGAGGAGGCCAGCCTGGCCAAATTAACAGAGACCCTATTTCAAAACAAAAATTAAAAAGGGCTGGGGATGTAGCCCGACAGTAAGAGCTCTTCTGGGTTCAATCCACAGTACAGTGTGTATGGGGACTGGAGGGGTGGGGGAGGTTTGAAAGTGGGACCTGGAAGGGAAGGAGGCCAAGCAAATGAGTAAAACCATTGGAAGTCTCAGGGAAGGCAACTTTGGTACAGGGGATTGAAGTATTGATGCCTTTATATTGTCAGTTATTCATATTGTCCCCAGGAGTGGGAGTGGGTGTGGTTGTGTGGGAGGATGTGGAGGGAAAACTTCCAGCAGGAGGCACCAGGCAAAGTTCCCTGCAACCCAGCCAGAGGCATGGGTAGGGATACTGGAAATGATACAGCACACTGGGAATCAGTCACTAGGCACTGAAATGGTGGAGTCTACAAGAGAAGAAATGTATCAACACAACTGTCTCTGCTCCCAAGAGGCTCATGGCCTGAGAGGGGAAGACACGGTGAATAAAATCATTGCCTGTGTGTGTGTGTGTGTGTGTGTGTGTGGACCCTGGTGCAGTAAAGCCTTCCCAGAGGGGGAACAACTGGTTGGGGAAAGGGCTGGGGGAGGAAGTCCTGCTCTTCCAAATAAAGGGAAGGCACTTGCACAGGCAGAGGCCTGCAATTGCCTGGCCACCCAGGCTCCTGGGTTCTTCTGCCGCTTGCTTAGCCTGCGATCCCAGAGCTGCCCTGTGAGCACCAGCTGGCAGCTTCCTCCTGCCACAGCCTGCCTTTCCTCCAGGTCCTGCAGGGGAAGTACTTATAGGAGCCTCCTCTGACTATTCCTACCACGGTGGTGACTCTAAACTCATAGTGTTTACTGCCAAAGCCACTACTTTGGTTCTTATTCACATACTTAGTTATAACTCAGCGGTAGAGTGTTCACCTAGCACGCGGGAGGTGATGGGTTAGCTCCTCAGCATCACACACACACACACAAAAATAAATAAACAAATAAATTTATTTTATTTAATAATTTAAATTTATTTAATTTAATTTAATAAAGGTGTTGTGTCCAACTACAACTAAAAAAAATTAAAATAAATAAATGAATCCTGTCTCTCTTGGCTTCATTTTAAACTTCCTTGAGAAGAAAGTACAAATTTTTATTGTTTATATTCTTATAATCTCCCATGGCTCCAGGAATTGGAGGACATATTAAGGGTGTAAGATAATAAGTGAATGGGTAAATTTGATCTATTTGGGGGACTATTGAATCCTACTAGGGTCTGGGGCAGGTGGCACACTCCTGTACTCCTAGAGACTGGGAAGGCTGAGGCAAGAGAATCTCAAGTTAGAGGCCAGCCTGTTAGTGAGATTTGTCTCAAAGTAAAAAACAGAAAGGACTAGGGATGTAGTTGGGTGGTAGAAAATCTCTGGGTTCAGTCCAGAGTAATCATCCCCCACCCGATGTCAAAAAAAAAAAAATCCTCCCAGGCTTACCCTTATAATTATTTTATGTTATAAAATTATTACTAAACCCTAAGCTTATTTTTTATTTTTTTATTTGGGTCATCTGTAGGTTTCAATGGGAGTTACCACATAAGCAAACGGGATACTAAGGGGTAAGTTTAAGGTCATGTACCTCAATTTCTTTTAACCCCTCCTCAACCCTCACCCTGGTCAGCCACTTGATTAACACTAGAGTTAAGAATTTGGGATCTCTGAACCCCTGCCTTTTAAAGTAACTGTTTCATAAAAGAATTTTGAAGAACTATGTACTCCTTACACATTTTTAAGACAACATCTAACAGTTTAAATATGAAGCTAAATTTCAAAGGATATACTACTTTCCAGGGATTTGAAAGTACTTACCTGTGAAAAATCACTTCACTCTTTTAAATGTAGCAGATGGAATATAATACCATAGACTTTCATATCTATTTAAGAAATATATGAACAAGCCCTTGTAGTGGCACCCCCTTTCTCTACAAAAAAAATCTTAACTGGGCTTCTCCACAAATCTTTACCATGGTTGATTTTAGGAGTGTCAGCAAAAGAGTCTCTACAAAAATGTTCAATGTAGTTAAACTTCCTATTTTCCTGTTGCTCTATTTCACTTGGCCATTGGCCAGGAAGAAATCAGCACTTCAGGTGCTGAATGCCCCTTTACTTGTTTTTCACAAACTTGTATCCAGTATAGTAGTTTGTAGAAGTGTGTTTGCAAATTAAAGATGTAATTTAAAAAAAGGACAAATCCTATAACAAGGCCTCTGGCCTTGAGCTGGAGCTTCACAGAGATGTCTACATTTCTATGATAAGACAAGTTACCAATTGGGCTCCGTGGTAACAGCTAACAGGGGAAGGAAAGAAAGGGGAGAAGAAACTCTCCCCTTCTTAGGTGTTGTCCTTGAAGGGTTAACTTGCCCAGAACAGTGAAAGAAAGAGCTGCTTTTATGTGAACTTCCACAGATTGTGAACTTCTGAACCCCTCCCTTTACATGCTGGGTATAAAATTCTGAAACTACCTGAACTCGGGGTTCAGGGAATTGATTAATTATAGTAAAAGCTGTGCCCTCTGAACCTGGCTGCAGCCAAATAAAACTGTTTCCTGCTGTCTTTGGTGCCTTGCCTCGTCTGTCCCTACAATACTCTTTAACCAAATAGAAATTTGCCTTGTTCCTTTTTCTCTTTAGTTCCTTTTCCAGTCTCCTTTTCCTATAGAATCTCCCCTAATAAAATTTATTTTTTATTGTAGATCTCTTTTATATTTTGTTGTATACCTTTTTTTACTAAGTCTTTTATTATATATCTCTGACAAAATGTGCATATAAATTGAAATTTATTTCTTACAATCATAAGACTCTGTTAAATGGTTCTTCTTCACTGGGTTATTGTAAGACAATTGGTCAAAATAACAAACATAGCAATATTTAGACATTAAAAAGTAAACTTTTATTGAAAATGCTTCTCTTAATGAGATGAAAGGGGCTGATTTACATTTCCCATTGGCTTCTTTTTTTGTTTTTTTGGTGATGCTGGGGATTGAACCCAGGACCTTATACATGTGAGGCAAGCACTCTACCAACTGAGCTATATCCCCAGCCCCCCCATAGACCCTAATTTGGCAGCTCCAGGAAGAGTACCCTGTTAGGCTCAGGGTGAGCAAGCGACTTACTTATATACATCTGGAAACTGATTCCCTTAAAACTGCCCATATGCACTGGATGTGGTGGTGCACACTGTAATCCCAGTGGCTCGGGAGGTTGAGGCAGGAGGATGGCAAGTTCAAAGCCAGCCTCAACAAAAGCGAGGTGCTAAGCAACTCAGTGAGACCCTGTCTCTAAATAAAATACAAAATAGGGCTGGGGATGAGGCTCAGTGGTTGAGTGCCCCTGAGTTCAATCCCTGTACCCAAAACAACAACAAAAATACTGCCCACACACCCCTGGGAAAGTTTGCATGTACTGCCAGAGGCATGCAAACTATGAGTCATTAAAGAAAGACCTAACTTCCTTTCTCACTCTTCAATACAGGGGTCCCATAAATAAAGGAACTTGGGTCTGAACACCATTGTGATTCTGCTAGATGCATTTTCAAGGCAGAGTCCTACACCTTTTTGCATGACATGTAGGAAAGATAGGAAACTCAGATTACTTCCAGACCTCTGCAAATTGAGGGCTGTGAGAAGGGCATCTGAATATTCAAAAACATAATCAATGGTAAAGAAGTGGCCTAGATTCAGAAATAAGAAAACATGGTTTTTATTTTTCTATTTCAGGGAAGCGCCATCCTTTTCTACTGATGGGTCCCAGTCATATACCACCAGGTAGCAGCAGAGAGCACAGTCTGCTGACATGGCCCAAGAAATCCCAGGTCCCAGGGATGAGGAAGAGAAGGTGGAAGGTAGGGGCAGCGAGAGAACTAGGTGAGGTAGGAGTGTGTGCTTATGCTGTCAAAGAAAAAGAGGGAAAATATGGGGACTAAATAGGGATACCAAGAGGTGACAAAACATCGATGATTCCTTCTGAAATCAGAATAAGTTGAGGAAATGAGGAGTTAGACAAAATTGGGGAAATTTTAAGGGGAAACAAAAGGGTAGAGATGGGCTTGGGAGTACTCTGCCTGGAGGCCCAAGTCACCTGGGGATCCCTGTTATCTGTACTCTTCCCGGGGAGGGTCAAGGTCTGGCTCATCCCGAGGGCCATGGTCTACCTCAGGGGCAGGGGGCCATGGGTTTTCTGGGGGCTGGGGTCCTGCTGGCCAGGGGTCATCAGGCCGGGGAGGTTGAGGAGGATCAGTGCTGGGTGGCTCAGGGGGCCAGACACTAGTTTCAGGCAGGTCTCTCCAGGGACGGGTAGGGCTTGGAGGTGTAGGGTCCTCAAAGAGAGGGGGTGCCCCTGGCCAGGGGTCACCAGGTATCGGAGGGCCCCGAGGCAATGGTGGGGAGCTCTCCTCCTCTCTGCCCTCTGTGGGTGGGGTAGAAGGTTGGTCCTTGCTGCCCAAGATTCCTGTAGAAGAGGAAGGAGAAAGGTAAGGGGTGAAGAGGAGCAGTTACCCCCCAACCCCAGCTACAGACCAGGAGACAGAACCTCTTTGGGATGGACAGTCTGAGCTGTCCAGCTAAACCTCAAAGTAATTTTCAAAGCACTCTCCATACATTTATCACAGTCTTAAAATGACATGAAAATTGATTTTGAGCCATTAATTTGCCCAATGTTAAGGGCCTGACACCTCCCCCAAATAATCTTCATTCTATGCCCACACCTAGCTAGCATGGGCCCCACTGTATCCCAAAGTGGTCTACACTTTGGCCACATGTGGCATCCACATCCCACCTCCACAATGATCCCACCATTCCTAACACATTCCTTCCTCAGCCAACATATCTGAACTCTGAAACAGCCACATGGTCCCACCCGAAAGAGCAAAACATTGATTCTGAACCAAAATGCTCTGAACTATACCCTTCATATAAATTTTCAGAATCCCTTCCACCTTTGTGTGCCTGATTCACCCCTTTCCTTTTTAGTGGTTATGTTCACTAAGGGTTGGTCATCTTGGCCATCCCCATTACCCCTGATATTCCTGGCCTGCTCCCAGCTCACCTCCAGTAAACAGGCAAAGGACCAGGATCCCCAGTAGCTTCCAGTTGATCATCATGGCTGTCTACTGGCCCCCAAAAGTGGGGTGCTCTGAGTCTGGGTGTCTGGGAATCCCAAGAGGCTTTATAGGGGAAGATGGAGAGGAGGAGGCCAGTCTATAGGGAGGGGCCGGCCCAGTGACACAAGGAATCCCATCAGAATCAAACTGGTCAAACCCGTTGGGAAGGCCCTGGCTAACATGAAGCCTGACTATGGCGTCTCTCATTTTAGTCCCCTAGCCCAAGACCTAATCACTGGCTCTCACTATCATTGACCCAGATGATCACCCCACCCTTGTTTTTACACCTGCTCCATCCACACTCTGCAGAAATCTATACCCACCTGTCATCTTCATAATCACAGGGACCTCCACCCTTTCATCCCTGGTAGCTATCAGAAGCCAAAGAATGGGAGCAAGCTCTGCTTGGGGAAGCACCATAATTATAAGGCTGTGAAGCAGGACGCTTGAGCTGATGTGGGGGGAGCCTTTGAAACCTGGGATGCAGCTGATGCAGTGTCCACTAACATGCCTGCCTCAGCCCCCTTACCCTTCATTTTAAGGGCTTCCTTCCTCAGGACCAGGCATGCTGCTTTCTGGCATGTGCCTGCTTAAATGGGACCTCCCAGTGACAGCCAAAGAATTCCATGTGGGAGGCATCTGGGGTGACGATGAGGAGGAAAGACACACTAGGATATCCTGCTTCCCTTTCCCTACCCAGAACTGGTGGCATTAGTCTCCAGCCAGAGGTTCAGGAAGAAGCTGCCCCTCCTGTAATCCTGGCCTCTTCCTCCTTCCTCAGGAACTCTTTGCTCCAGCTTTTTCTGTCCCCATTTTCAGGTCTCAGTTCAAAAATGCATCTTCTTACAACATGCTAATTGAGCTGGGCATGGGGGCACATGCCTGTACTTCCAACTACTCTAAAGGCTGAGGTAGGAGAATTACAAGTTGAGGGTAACTTCAACAACTTAGAGAAACCCTGTCTCAAAAATATAAAAAGGGCTGGGGGAGCTGAGGGTATAGCTCAGTGGCAGAGCACTTGCCTAGCATGTGGGAGGCACTAGGTTCGATCCTTAGCACCACATTAAAATAAACAAAGGCATTCTGTCCAATTACATCTTTTTTTTTTAAATAACTAAAATAAAAAGGACTGGGGATGTGGCTCACTATTAGAATTCTCTCTGGGGATTCAATCCCCAGTACTACAAAAAAAAAAAAAAAAAAAAAAGTAAATTGAAACTGGAGCCCCTAGAGCTTTCTATTGACTTTGAATAAATTTTAAATTACTTGCCAATATTGGCCTCTTCCCCAACATCCTCTGTCTGGGTCCCCTTAATCTCTCCTGGCCTCAGCACAAAGTTCCTTGCCTTTCCTGGCCCCTCACCTAAAGCTGCCCCTCCCAGAGTCCCCTTCTATCATATATCTGTATCTTACTTTCTCTTCCTAGCTCTCCTTTGAAGCACTCATTTATTCTGAGGTGCTTGTCTATTTGTCTCTCCCATTAGAACATAGGCACCTGGGTGCAAAGGCCTTGCCTGGATCTAAGATTCTTGTTGAATGAATGAATGTTTATCTTTCTCTCTCCTGGCATTTATCACATTCCAGAGGAAAAGAGTTTTAAAATAAAAAGTGAGAATAAAAGAAAACAGGAGCTTCTCAAAAGCTTCTAAAACAGGATAGAAAAGATGTTTGGAAAGAGGTACCACTTTTCACAGCCTCAGGAAGAATTCCCCAAGATAACACTTCCAGACAGTAGTTCAAGTGGAGTCATCTTTATTTAGTGAAGGAGAATTTAGACTTAGAGGAAGTTGGTGTCTGTGAGGCTGGAAGGGGAAGTAGACTGGGCTGGCCCCCACCCATTCTCCAGGATCTTTCTGGGGATTCAGCCCTTGGGCAGGCTTCACCTCCAGCTCTCAGCTGTAGCTGCTCAGATGTGGACTGGAGCAGAATTCTGGTTGTCTCCTTGACAAATAACTTCCTCCTTGGAAATGGCCTCACTCAGGCCCTGTAGACTATCAAGCAGGACAGAGAGGGACTCTGGGAAAAAAAGACACCCAAGTATAGACGCTGGTACTGGATATCGTGGTATGAGGGACAAGTTTCTTGGGTCAAAGGTGGGTGTGGATGGAAGAGGCCAAGGCATACACACACAAAAGGGTCTGGAGTAGATGCCAGGAGTGCCCCCATTTGTCGCTTTATGATTAGTCCATTACCTTTTGTGGGCCCCCTGGAGGACAGAGCTGCTGCCAGTGGTATTGAGGATCCGGGAGGCCTGGGGCTGGACTCCACAGATTTCTCCTTATCCAGTATAGAGGGAAGAACTGCCAACAGTCGCTGCTGCTTGTAATGGGAGAGGAGACCCGCCTGCTGCAAGGTGGCCTGGGAAGGAGAGGGTTAAACGCCACCTAGCCCGGGGAAAGCCTTCCCTCCTTTTTCCACTCCTTTACCTATCAACCAGTAAACCATGGGCCCTGGTCTCTTCAGTCTCCTACCAGCATGATGTTCTTGTCCCTCTCCAGGTCTTGCACTCGCTGGGTCAGCCGCTGCCCCTCCTCCTTCCGGGCCTCATCCTGCAGACGCCTGAGCTCCTGGTTCCGCTCCTTTTCTCTAGTGGCTTTACGTTGGATCTGGCGCAGAGACACCTCTGTGGAGAAGCCAGGGTGGAGAGGGAGGGTGTGGGTTATCCTAGAGGTGGCCAGGCACCATGAAAACAAAACTGGAATGCCAGGGCAGGTGCCCATATGGGAAGTTACTCTACTCTGTGGATCCCAGTGTCTCTTCCATTCAGCTGGAGAGGTGGGATGATGCTCCAGGTTCCTGTGTATCTGTGAACCCAAGTACCTCTCCCATCCCCCAATCCACCCAGGAGTTCCTTAGGGGAGAACTGAACATGGGCTAGATATTAGATTTTGTGCAATTAGTACTCATATTCTTATAGTATGATCATAGTATTGCAGTTACACAGAATTTCCTATTTGTGGGTGATTTGGCTGAACAATCATGTTTGCAATCTACTTTAAATAATCAAAAAATGTATATATAAATATGTGCATGTATACACAAGAGCAAATGTGGCAAATGTTAACTGCCATCTCTAGTTAGAGAAGATACACTCAATAAAGTTCTTTTTTTGGGGGGGGTGGATACTAAGGATTGAACTTACACTCTACCACTGAACTACATCTCCGGTTTTGGGCGTGCGTGTGTGGTGTTTGGTACAGGAGGCTGAACCCAAAGGCCCTCTACCACTGAGCCACCACCCTAGCCCTTATTTTATTTTGAGAAAAGGTTTTAGTAAACTGCTGAGGCTGGCCTGGAATTTGCAATCCTCCTGCCTCAGCCTCTCAAGTCACTGGAATTACAGATGTGTACCCCCATGCCAGGTACCCAAGTACTTTTTAATTTTGAGACAGGGTCTCCTGAGTTGCTGGGATTAGAGGATACACCACTGCACTCAGTGTGTGCTGTTTCTTGACATGACACTAAACTTCATAGTATGTCCACAGGTAATGTGCCATTCCTATCCCTTCATTTGTGGCATGCCTCAACAACAAGTTTTAGTGGGGAATAATAACTTTCTGTCTCAACAATTCCTTCTTTCTAGAAGGCCTACATCTATCCTGGCACATCTCACCAGCCTTGGCCTGCTCCTTCCGAGCCTCGTTCAGTTTCCTCTCTGTGTCTGAGAGCTGTTCCCGAAGTCGAGTCTCCACCTCAGCCACCTTCTCTTGCAAAGCTGGGATGAAGGTGCAATGAGTGTCAGAAGGAACCACCCCAGACCACAAAGGGGTGCACACTTCCCCTCCCCCACACCTTGCCCATAGATCTTCTGCTGCTGAGTCAGCTCCTTTCGGAGACTGGCAGCCTCTTCAGTGCTCTCCTGCTGGCCCTGGCGAGCTGCTTCCAACTGTAGTCCTAGGCTGGCCAGAGACTCCTGGGTTTGCTGTAGTTCCTGCTCCAGCTGCTGGGCCACCTTGCTCAGCTGCTGCCGCTCTGCTTCCCCTTAGAAGAATATGCTCACTCAGACCTCTTCTTGTGCATGTGCTCTAGATGTCAAGTCTTCCCTCTTCTTCATCAACGTCCCCCATCTATTTATCCATCCATCTACATGTACCTTGCTCCTGGGCCCGGCCCACTTCCTGCTGGATGACATGGGCACTCAGCTGCAGTTCTGAATCCAGGCGATTCCGTTCTTCCCGCAGCTGCTCCAACTCAAGGTTTAAATCTATGTCAGGTGGGGGTGGAGGTGGGGGAGGGGGTGGAGGTGGAGGGCAGCTAAGACAGAAGAGAAACAAAGTCAGCTGTTGGCTAAGGAATTTAGAGCCCCTATCCCTCCTCAGTCCTCATTGTTTGGGATTCCAGCAGCCAACACCCTAAAGCTTCACCTCCGCATAACACCCCCTCCACCTTAAAGTGCCCAGACTTTACCTCTCCAGGCGCAGCTGGGCCAGAATCAGTTTTCGAGCCATCAGGCCTGGGAAGAGGCAAAAAGAGATGAGTACACAGAGGAAAAAAGGACAGACAGGGGAGTAAGGGAGAAAGAAATGCTGGGGCTGGCAAGAAGGAAACAGGAGGATGGATGTGGGATCAGAAAGAGCTGGGCCAGGAAGATGATGGACAAAGTAAGCAGGACGCACTCACAGTTTCTCTACCCACCCTGAATGGTGTGGACCTTGCGGACAGCATAGCTAAGTCGGTTGCTGAGGCTGGGAAGCCGGGCTATAGCCTGTTCCACCTTAGTCAGAGTGTTCTGGAAGCAGATCTGAGAGCTGGAGAAGGTACAGGTCACTAACCCTCCACCCTCACCTCAACCCCCAAAGACCTGCAGGGTCTTGTACAGACAACACTGTTATACAAGTGAGAAAAGCAGAGAAGGGGAATATGAGAGAGGAAAAGAGAAGCTGAAGCCACTGGGAAGGGTAAGACCTTAGTGCCCAGCCACTGTGCCCCATAATGGAACCACCGCGTAAATCATATCTAAATTCCTTAGCCAACAGAAGCAGAGAAACTGAATGCTTAAGGCCTTTAGTAACTGTCAGATAAAATAATCCAACTGCTAATAAAACATAAATATTCACCAAGTCATTCCTGGTAGCAAATGCTACCAAT